TGCAGTGCACGAAGGGGGAGAGGAGCTCCCTTTTCCTGCCCTCCAGGATCAGTTTTCTCTGGGAAGAGGGAAATTCCGGATTGCTCGGCAGCTCGGATCACGGCCCGCTGGCAGGCCGAGCTCTGCAGCGCAGCCCCTGCTCTCCTGCCGCCCGACCTGGCACCAAGGAACAATTATTCTTCGTTTGTGTCCCTTACCGTGTTCAACAACACTGAGCTTGTTGGTTTTATTTAAGAAAAGCACATTGCATCAGGAATACTCCAGCACATTGCATCAGGAATGCTCCAGCTGCTGAAGCCAGCACGTGGGCGCCGGAGCCTGGGAAAAGCGGCACGAAGGAGATGCCCATGGCACGTGAACCCCCCTGCAGAAAGCTCCTCATTTGGGGCATCACCGGGAGCAGCATCTGAAAGAGTTTGGGCTCTGCTTCTCCCTGGGACCCATCTGGCCTTAATTTCTTTGGGGGGCTTCTCTCCAAATTCCTCAAATTCCCTGGCAAACGCTCTGCAGTCCGCGGTTCGGCTCGATGCACCCGGCTGCTCCACACGGGAGGCTCGGCCGGGCCGGAGCGGAAGGGCAGGGAAGGAGGGATCTGCAAACTGGGAAGCAGGACAGCACTTCCTTGCTGGGGCTGGCACCGGGCTCAGCACGGGGCTCCTTGCCCTTGCAATTGGAGCAATCACCCAAGCAATGCAACTTCATGCCAAAATCCCATGTTTGTGCCCCAAACTGCAGCTCTCGTGCCCCTAAGGCACCGACGCTGCCTGAGCCCCGCTGAGCCTCAGTTTCCCTGTGGCTTTGCTGCAAAGGTCTTAATTACTCAAATGTGGGAAGCTGCTTTGGAGCATCCCCACGGTCCTCATGCACGCGCAGCTCTCGGTATCCCTGTGGTCCCCATGTCAGAGCCCCAGCAGGACGCGGCTTTGCACCAACCTCCCAAACCCGCACGTTTCAGGGCCTGCACAATTTGCCCTCCGATTAATCCGCGATTAACCCGCCCGCGCTCCGCCTTGGAGCGCTGTTCCTGCGGGACGCGGGCGAGCGGGGAGGCCGATGCGCGGCAGCGCTGCGGGGCTGCTGGCAGGCCCGACCGCGGCAATAAAATCCCAGCCCCGACCGGAGACGTCAGAGGGGAACAAAGATAGCCCGTGATGCAGAAAAGATGCTCGCCTTGGAAATAATCTCCCAGGAATGCGGCGCAATCATGAAGACACATGTCGACCGCCGCGGCTCTGCCGGGCCCGGCGGCCGCTCTTTAAATAGCGTGCCCCGTTTCCTCCCTCCCGCTGCCTTCCCCCTCTTCCTTTTGCATCCCATAAGGATATAATTTAATTCCACCGATGATCTGCAAGGCCTTCGATGGGGCGGTCGCCGGCCCTGCTGAAAAGGGGGCTTTTGCAGGAATCCCTGCCGCCCTCCCCCAGCTTCCCTGCTCCGGCTGTTAGAGAGGGAGCTGCACCAACCCCTCCGTCTAAATTAAAACGAGCTATATTTACTGTTCCTGCTAATTGAATTACGTTAGCTCCAAGGCGGAGGATAAGCAGAGCCGTCCCGCACGGTTCCTGCTCCTGATCTGCTTTGCATCCAGACAACCGTCCCGCCGCGCGTCCCGGCGCCTTCCGAGCACAGGGATTTGTTCCTGGGCTTCTTTTCCATCCTGCTTTGACCAAGTGGTTTGGGAAACCCCACTTTCCTATGGGGCTGTTGGTGTTTCGGGGAGAACGGTGCCCACGCAGGAGCTGGGACCTGCTCCGTGCCATCCGTCCCGTTGCCACCAAGGGGTCGTGTCCAAAACACTCCAGGAAGAGCAGAGTTGGGGCATGGGGGGGAAATAAGCCCTAAATTTTCTGCAGATGTTGCTGTTTTCTGCAGATGTTGCTGTTTTCTGCAGATGTTGCTGTTTTCCACCCCTCGCTCAGGTGTGCTCACGGCGGGGCCGTGCCAGAGGCAACGTGCCTCATTGCAGCCCTCTGCGCGTTACAGAAACGGGACCTGCGTGTCATCGGGTTTCCTTTTTAATTACGGGAACTTATTGTCCGTAATTCACCAAAAAAAAAAAAAAGAAAGAAAAAAGTGCTCGGCCCTCATTGCATTTCTGCAGCGCCAGGTGCAATTAAAGCACCCCGTGCAATTAAAGCGATTCCTTGGACCAAACCCCCTTGCCCAGAGCAACAGCAGCGATTAGAGCTTCCTAATGCCTCCGGCTCATTTTCCTTTTTCCCTTGCGTAACGTAATTTCTATAGGTCCTGCCGTCTTTATTAAGAGAATTAATCTCAATCCCCCCATGCTCTGGCCCTCCGGAGCCCTTTCGCAGCAGGTCAGGACGGCAGGTCCACTTGGTGCCATGCAAAGAAACGAGAAATATAAAAATTAAAAGGGAGGTCAGCTGGAGGCTACAGCAGGGAAACGAATGGGGCTTTAAACAAGCAGGGAAGTTTGCATCAGCCTGGCAACATAATTCAATTTGGGGCCTCGGAGCCCGCTGTGTCATTAAACTCATGTCGCTCATGTGGGGCCGCTTTTGCCCAATAAGCAAAACGCTCATATTAAGCCCGGATCGTCGTTAGCGTAATGATCAAATGAGGATGGATGGCGGCAAGGAGGAGGCAGCCCAAGTCCAGCCTTGCAGCAATGGCACGGCAGGGGCCTGGCCCCTCGCAGCAGAATGGGGGGAAAAAAGCACTTTTGGGGGCAGATTTGTCCTGTCCTGTGGGCCCGGTGGGTGCCTGCAGTGTCCCCAGTGGGGACAAGGGACCCAGCAGTGTCCCTGGCAGGGGGGACAGGACGGAGCGGGTGGCCTGGCCAAGGATACGACTTGCCAAAGCACCCGCCTGCTCTGGGGGAAGGAAGGAGCGGGAATAGCGCTGGCACCCTCCTGCGTCTGCAGCCACAAACTGCAGCACGAAGGCAACGGCCGCCTGCACCGGGGAAAGCCGCTCCGCGTCCCGGGATGCTGGGCCCAAGCGGAGCATCCTGCGACACCGCAACGGCTGGAGGATCAGGCAGCGGGAGAGGAGCTGGAACTCGGGCTGAAACCGAATCAGTGGTTGGTGCAGCAGCGAGCGCCCAGTCAGGCGCCACATCCATCCCACCCGGATGGCAGCGGGATGTGAGGAAGCACCGCGGCGGGATGGGCGCTGGGCACCCACCGCTTCCCATCGCAGCAGCCCCGGGGAGGCTGGAGCGGGGAGGCCGGCTCGGGCCACGTCCAGCTCCGTTCCCAGATTCCCTGGACGCGGCATCGGGCTCTGCCCGACCACGGGACCTTCCTGAGCGCTGCAGGTGGGAAGGGGAGTTGCAGCTTCCCCCCTCACATCCAGTTTCCCCCGTGGAAACTCTCGCTAGACCCTGCAGAACTCATCACCCTTCCCCTAGGAAACCCTGCCAGACCACAGTCTAGAAATGACCCAGAACAAAAGCATTTAACTACGAAACGAGCCAAAACCAACTACAATTGAGTAAAAGTGCTAATCTAAGAAAAGAAAAGACTTTCCCCAAGGAATGTTTTGATTCTGGAAATGCCCAAAAGCTCTAACATTCCCCCTTTCACATTGCAAAGCCAGGGATAACAGAGACAGATGCAGGATAAAACCACACGGACCAGCCTCAGGCCAACTGCTTTGAGCAGGCCAGATGCACGGCGGATATTTCTGGATTTTGGGCTCCCACGTCTGTGGCTGGAGACGGAGACGCTTGGGAGACATCTCCGAGTCACCTGGCAAAATCTGCCCTTGGATTTCTGGCCGTATCTTAGAACGCAGGGAAATCGTCCTAGATTTCCTAGGACACAGACGCAGCGCACGTCCCAGACAGACGTACCCTCCAGCAATGCAGACAGTGAGTCTGAAAAGCAAGGAGGAGGAATCCCAGTGTTATCCCCCCAGGATTTACCGTCAAGAGGCGCTGCTTGAAAAAGAAGTTGTCTGACACAGTGAATCAGTGATTTATTTTTAGTATTCGAAGAGGTACAAGGTCAGCAGCGAACGCCAGGCGGTCAGTGTCAGTGTCCCCATGGTCTCCGAGGAGGTAAAATGCATGGAAAGCCCATAAAGT